CCCGGAGCCATGTGCCCTTGCCATTGCGGGAACCGCAAACCACTTCAAGGTCGCCAAGGAGCAGCACCTTGCAAATGGAGATTCAGGAAGATGCGCCAATGCATGTCCAGCGACATGTGTGGTGAATGCTGCAAAGCCACGTGGCCCTGCAAACACTCTGACGTGGCGGTGCTGCCTACCTCGCGTGAGAGCAAAGGAGCCTGACACTGTCACAGTCTGTCGCAAAGCGTCTTCCAGGCCTGGCGACGCCAGTTCTCTGTCACGCGGCCAAAAGGCACCCGAGGAACAAGAGGGCACCAAAGGAGCCTCAAAGCAGAGCAATGTAGAAAGCAGATTTTCCTAGGCACGGCTGCAAGGATTCCTTACTAGCCGCCGCCATAGCAAGGATTGACAAAACACGTCCGAAGAGCCGGAGGCATGGGCAGGAAGGATTCCCTACAGCCAAGGCAGAGCAAAAGAAAAAAAAAATGTCCGGAGGCCGGAGCCATTTTTTCCTTGGCGCGGCTGTAAGGGATTTGGCTAGCGGCGGCTGCAAAGATTCCTTGAAGGCAGTCCAGGATTCCGATGGGTTCCTCGGTTCCAAAATTTCGGGGACGCTCCACGCGCACACGTCACGCCACGCCGGGATCACGGACAGTTCTGAACATGATGAAGCCTGATGACACATAATGAAAAGCCATTTAGACTGAAAGCTGCTTGCTTAAAAACAGCGAAAGAGGGTCATGACAAATGATGGAACTTATGAACATGATGAAAACTTATGAGAAACCATAGAAAATTATGAAACACATGAAACATTATCTACTTCGAGCATCCCCACCCTAAAGCCGTTCTTGCACATTTTTCTTTCATGTTTTTCTCCCCCTAACGCAACCATATTGCATTTTGGCAATGAAGGGGCAATTGCTGTCGGCACTGCAGGGATACTCTGCAATTGGGCACTGCAGGGGTACTTGGTGGTTGGGCGCTGCATGGATACTCAGCGGTTGGGAGCTGCAGGGATACTCTGCAATTGGACACTGCAGGGATGCTGTACTCTGCGGTTGGGCACTGCACGGACACTTGGTGGTTTGGGCACTGCAAGGATACTCTGCGTTTGGGCACTGCAGGGATATTGTATTCTGCGTTTGGGCACTGCAGGGATACGTTGCCATTGAGCACTGCAGGGATAGTTGGTGGCACTGCAGGGATACTTCGCGCTTGGGCACTGCAGGGATGCTGTACACTGCGGTTGGGCGCTGCAGGGACAGTTGGTGGTTGGGCACTGCAGGGATACGTTGCAGTTGGGCACTGCAGGGATACTCTGCGGTTGCGTGCTGCAGGGATCTGCGGTTGGGCGCTGCAGGGACACTTAGTGCTTGGGCATTGCAGGGATACTTGGTGGTTGGGCACTCCAGGGATACTTTGCATTGGGCACTGCAGGGATACTCTGCGGTTAGGCACTGCAGGGATATTGTATTTTGCGGTTGGGCACTGCAGGGCTACGTTGCCATTGAGCACAGCAGTCACGCTCCGCCCGGAGGGCGAGGACAACATACACGTTTAAAATCTAACAACCCCACCTGCGAGGGTGGGGAATTAAGAGTCACCGACCAGAATGTGACGGTTGTTAACGGAGGTTCTCCACTAGACACGATACCGGCTCATGCTCAAAAAAAGCGAAGGGGGTTGGGGGGGAAGCCCCCCTAGTGTGCAAACCATTGAAATTGCGGGATCTGCATGAGGATCCTGAGGGTCAAAACCTTCAACGCTTCTGGCACGCCACTCATCATATGCTGCTGCAATCTCCCCGTGACAATTGATCCACTGTACTGGACATGATACAGGATCGTGTGTAAAGGGGCAGCAGAAGTGGGTGAGGATTCAAAACTAAGTGACTAAGGTACGAACAAAGTAAATAAGAATTTAAAGGACCGGAAAACCCCACATGTGTGGTTTAACTCGAATCTATGCGTAATGATATCAGGACACTGTCGCCCGCCGGAACAAGAAGACATGCTCAAAGAGAAGATGTGAAGACGAAACAAAATTCCGGAACGAAGCGAGCGGGGTGTTGCGCGAGTGTGAAGATAACACTTTACAGCCCCATGCTTTATGTGTAATATTTACCCTCAGCTGTAATCGCGAACATGTTTCGGTATATGGGATATAGATATACACATATATACTGTGTATATACATGTACCATATATATTTATATATTTACAACATGGCATGCACACGGGGGTGTTGCATTGTAGGTGGGTTGTTGTTCCTGAGACCACCATGGCCTGTGGCAACATTATTGCTCCACAAGTCCTGGGTTAGATCCGCTACCATGACAAAAAGAAGGCTTGACTACACAGTTCCTGTAGACACATGTTTCCTTCTATGCTGCTGGGCAGTTGGGTGTCTGTCTCTGAGGCTATACATTGCACATGCAATAGCTTCCTGCACATGCTCATGCATTGCTCTACTGTAGCACCTCCATGGCAGCAATGTTTAACGCGAAAAGTCAAATTAAGGATCAACAAAAACGAAGTTGAGGATTTCAAAGCCTGAATACTGTAAATGGCACCATTCGGAGATTCGGAAGAGCAAGACCAAATCCAATAAGGACCAAAAAACAAACGATGGAGAAATGATGAAACACAGTGCAACATGATAGATAATGACGAAAATTACTAACAAACGTAGAAAAGATGAAACAAGGTTTAAAGTTGTTAAACATGATGAAACCTGATGGCACATGTTGAAAAACCCTTCAGGATGATGAAAACTGTTGAAAATGACAAAAGAAGATCACAAATGATGGAAAATGACGAATAGTGATGAATGGTGCTGTAGCATGAATAGTGATGCGTAATGATCGAAAATGGGAAACATGGTGCATAATGATTGAAATTCATGTAACGAATGAAAAATGATGAAAACTGCTTGAAAACAATGAAAAATTCTGGAAATAAGAAAGCCTGATGGAAGATGATGGAATATGGTAAGCAATAATGAGAGATTATGAATATGATGAAAAAGCATGAATATTGATGGGAAAGTGATGAACATGATTAAAGCTCATGCATATGATGAAAACGGATGAAAAATGATGAGAAAGATGAAGCATGATGCAAAACCATAACACATGATGAAAAGTGAGGCTTAATGATGAAACTTAGGAACATGATGAAAACTTATGAGAAACCATGGAAAATGATGAAACACATGAGACATGAAGAGTCACCGGCCCTTCAAGCGTTTCGTAAAAGCTGTGTCAAAATCACGCATATGACGATAGGTAATGATCAAAAATGTGGAAATTATGAACAATGATTGAAATCATGAGAATGGTGAATGAAGATATGAAATGAATGTTAAATCACCAGAACTGGTTGCCTGATGAAAGATGATGAAATGTGATGGGAAAGCATTAAATAAAGCTCATGAACAGCATGAAAATGATGAATATGTATGGAAATGATGGAAACCTATAGGAACGATGCAAACGGATGAAAATCAAGACAAATTACGATACATGATGATTAACTATGAAAATTTAGAATGATGAAAAGTATTGGAAAAACAATGAAAACTGATGAACAACATGAAAACCACGACAACATGTGCGAAATGATGACTAATGATGAGAAACTATGACAATGGTGAAAAAACATGAGACATGACCGACCGACCGACCGACCGACCGACCGTCTCCCTTCTAAACAAGAGCCGTGACCGCGGCTGACCAGAGCCT